ATAACTGGGCAGTTACAACTACCCACTTATCCAGTTTCTTGCAGCTTTACTCCTGCTTTTTGGCACCTCTAGCTGATTCCTAACTGAGGACCAAGCCATTCTTCATCAAGACAAACTCATTTTAAAAATGCAGATAAAAGTTGACAAAGGGATGAAAGAAACTAAGTATTAGAAATCAACATCTGTCGTAGTACACACAGTTTCTTAGGGGACTTTTTGGGCAGTGAGTCTGAGCAGCTTGCTTGGCCAAGTGCCCACAAAGTAACTAGATCACACTCTAATCTGGCTGTGGTCATTTTCTGGTATTTCATGATTCAGTCATCTGAAGACCTGGCATTTCCAGTAGACTCTGATTATCCAAGTGTTTCGCTTCTCTTTCCTGACATGCTTACTGTATCACAACTCATTTGAGTGGCAGTTACCAAGTGAATGAATTTTGAGTTCTTCCATGTTCAGAGACTGTGTTTTTGGCATGAGCAGAAATGGCAACACAAAGGTTAAGCAAATGAAAACTGAATAAATTTACAATAACGGCCACACATTGCATCTGGTGTCATGCAGACGGGATTCATTATCCCAAATTCCTTGCTGCTTGGCATTAGTATCCTTGACAAGCCTGACCAGACTGACTTGGCAACATGCCACACAAATAGAAGGCCCGAAGTGCCATTATCCAGATGTGGAGACAAAGAGCTACCTTAGTGCTGCATTACGGTATGTTGCTGTGATGGTGCATTGCTCCCTGTTCTTCTCCTGGACTGCTCTACAGCCCTAGAAATGCCCAGTAAGCAACACGTGCAACGAGTTTGGTGGTTAAGCATCCCTTGACTGTATCAAAACTTGCATAACTAAGGTGGGGATGGCCCTGACCACATCGGGGTACCAGATGTGTGGCCTAGATGGGGAATGAGAACAGAAATAACTAAGCATTCCCTGATGGACCTGGAACATAAGCATATCTAACCGTAACTCAGGTAGATCGGTACCAGTCTAACTGGACATTTGAAAATTTTTACATTCCCAGTAACAGTTACTAAGCCGGATGGTGGCCAGGATGGAAACTTATTGATGCCTAAAGTCAATCATCTTGCGATCCTATAAACAGCAGTACCAAGTGAGGCCCTTTTGAGCCCTTCTGGACTGCAGTGGGCTGCATCTAGCATCTCCCTCTGAGTAGGATGCCTCTCAGAGCTTGAGAGTTCACGAAACACGGAGGATCATCACCAAAGACCAACAATGGGACCTGGCCTGAAACCCTCCACTCCTTGAGGCTCAACCCTTGCCCACTGAGAAATGCTGAGTCACATGAAGTGAATATTTCCCTGGACTTGAGAGGAATTTTTAACAGGTATACCTTTATATATATATATCTCCATATATATCTCTCTCCATATCTGTATCTGTGTACGTGCATGTATGATTAGAAACTTTGTTAAATTACTCAATTGTTGATTATTGATTAATTAAGTTTATTAGAAAACCGTATAATCCAACCTTGTAATTTGTTATAACAGTGTTAACAAACCTCAAAGCGCTGCTACTTCAACCTTAAACTGCTGCTACCTCAAAGTCATACAAAATGATGGTTTAGCCTAGAGAAGAGAAGACTGAGAGGGGACCTTATTAATGTTTATAACTATCTAAAGGGCGGGCGTCAAGAGGATGGAGCCAGACTCTTCTCAGTGGTGGCCAGCGATAGGACAAGGGGCAACAGGCACAAGCTGGAACACAGGAGGTTCCACTTAAACATGAGGAAAAACTTCTTTACTGTGAGGGTGACAGAGCACAGGAACAGGCTGCCCAGGGAGGTTGTGGAGTCTCCTCCTCTGGAGATGTTCAAAACTCGCCTGGACACTTTCCTGTGCAGCTTGCTCTAGATGAACCTGCTTTGGCAGGGGGGTTGGACTAGATGATCTCCAGAGGTCCCTTCCAACCCCTAACATTCTGTGAAAATACATAATCAACATGTTAAACCACTATACTAAGATCCCTGCACCTAATGCCTTTAAACAAACTGCTGATCAACAGTCTGGGTCTAGGAGTGGATTCAGCCCCACCTAGACTCCTCTCTGAGGAGGAGTTTGGAAAGCAAGGGGGTCCACTCTGAACCTCGTGACTCAAGGGGATGGTCTCCCTTATCTTCTTGCCCTAATCCTTGTATAAATCACATCAGCCCAATTCTGACTCAATTTTCCCTGATTTCTGAGTAAATTATTTCCCCTGATCCATGTGTAAATCATTCTAACTTGATTTTCTTTTAGTATGGCTTTTCCATGAAGTGATAGAGTGAACCTTGCCATTGAACTCTTAAGTTGCACTTTTATAAATCCATATTAAAATCACTTTCTCTAATATCTTTGAAGGTGATTCTTTGAGCGACCTTAAGTCCTTCCATTTCCACCTGTGACAAACCGGTGCAGTCAGCAGAATGGCAAGCAGTATCACTGATCACTTACAAAAGTCTGGAATAAATCTGAGCTCCCAATTCTCAGAAGAATGGGCTTGTGATAATTGGCATGATTGGAACTCGTGGAAAAACAGCTAGAGGTGGCCAAGGGCTGTTTAAAGGACAGAAGAGGAAAAGGAATTATTTGCAAAATGTTGGGTGCCTGCCTAGAAACTGCTTGTCAGGATAGGAAGAATAACACCAAAGAGAAACAGAACCTCAAGGAGGAAATGGAAGGCAGAAAGGCAGCTGAATCAATACCGTCTGTAAGAACTGAGTAGCTGCAGAAATGGTTCCTCAGCACATGCAAGAGATTGTCCTGTTGGAGAGGGGGGGCCACAAACATGATCAGAGGGATGGAACACGAAGAAGAGGCTGAGGGGAGACCTTATCACTGTCTACAACTACCTGAAAGGAGGTAGTAGTGAGATGGGTGTTGGTCTCTCCTCCCAGGTAACTAGTGACAGAACAAGAGGCAATGGCCTTAAGTTGTGTCAAGGGAGGTACAGATTGGATGTCAGGAAAAATTTTTTCACTGAAAGGGTTCTCAGGCACTGGAATGAGCTGCCTAGAGAGGTGGCTGAGTCACCACCCCTGGAGGTATTTAAAAGACAGGTGGATGGAGTGCTTGGAGATATGGTTTAGTTGTGGATAGGTACAGTTGGACTTGATGATCTCAAAGGTCTTTTCCTACCAAGCGATTCTATGATTGTCTTATGAAGAAAGGCTGAGAGAGTTGGGGTTGTTCAGCCTGAAGAGAAGAGAGGGCTCTGGGGAGAACCTTACTGCAGCCTTTCAATACTTGAAGGGGGTCTATAGGAAAGATGGGGACAGACTTTTTAGCAGGGCCTCTAGCGACAGAACAAGGAGTCATGGTTTTAAACTGAAAGAGGGTAAATTCAGACTAGATATAAGGAAATATTTTTTTACAGTGAGGGGCTGAAACACTGGAACAGGTTGCCCAGAGAGGTGGTAGAAGCCCCATCCCTGGAAACATTCAAGGTCAGGTTGGATGGGGCTCTGAGCAACCCAACTGAGTGGAAGGTGTCCCTACTTGCTGCAGGAGGGTTGGACTAGCTGACCTTGAAAGGTTCCTTCCAATCCAAACCATTCTATAATTCTATAAAAAAGGAGAAAAAAACCCCAACAAACCCAAATTAGAAGAAAGAATTGAGATGATACTTATGCAGCCTCCACATCCCCCTGACATGGTACAGATTAATGGGATGCAGATATATGGGGTGACTCCGATGATAGTGAACTGGGAAAAAATAATTCCTTCTCTCCTTCAAATTCCTCTAAATGTGAAGTCAGACCCATTATAAAAATAAAAGAAACCAGTGGACCTTGGGGTGGAGCAGGAGATTGTCCCAGAAAAATGACCCCATTTGACCTAATCCAGATGGCTGATTTACAAGAACACTATGGCCATAAATCAGGCAAAACTGAAACTGAGTATTTATTGCGGGTATGTGTAACTGGGGGAGGTAGAACTCCATTAAACAGCGATGAAACCAATGGATCTTTGGGTCCTGGTGTCTTATTAAATGCTGGCTCCGAATCCCTAAATGAATCCCACCTTGTAACAGGAGACCAAGCAAGCCCCATGTTAATGAACCGACACCAGTGAGGATGGCATGACTGGAGAGCAGTCAGCTTGCGTATGTGATGTGAAGACTACTACAGACCTAACAGCTCAGCTGATATGAAATTATTAATGAATACAAGCTACAGAACTGTCATTTTCAGCTGTACAGTACTTTTTCCGGAAGCAAACTGAAAGAGCTGCACCCTGGAGCACTGGTTGCCAGACAGCTGAGGTTGAGCTTTGTTTCCAGTCCCCTGGACAAATTTAAGAGAAACAGTCTTGCTGCTCTGACCTGCCCAACTATTCTTAGCAATTTGTAGCGTTTAGAACTATTGTGCCAGGATTTCTTACTTTTTATATCTGACTTGCTGGACAGGCACAATTTTAATAAAAGAAGAAGTAGAGTAACTGTAAGGCTATTGCCATGCTCATGTTCAAGATAGCAAAGGTTCAAATTTACCACTCCAGGAAAGAGCATTTCCCAAGATCTGCAGGAGGACTTCCTCTTCCAAGTACTAAAGGATCAATGAGTTGTCTATAAATATCTTACTTAAGCCAGCAGATACACCGATAGGTTTGCACAATGGCAACATTTAGGCCATTCATCTATCTACTTAAAAGCCTCCCTGTCTTTGCTAAGACTTCTGCAGAACATTCAAAAATAATATTCTACCAAAAGCAATCTCTCAAAAAGCTTGAGTGTATTAAAATGCAGATTTCTGGTTATCTGTTGTGAATACAGTGGTATAAATGCAGTTTTAGATCCAACTACTGGCACAATTCTTCCCACCCTGATAAACCTTAACAAAACATCATGTGTTAATTTTAACTCTGATATAAACAATACATTAGTTTTGTTTTGGGGGGTTTTTTTAAGCCATCATGAAGCCCCTGTGGGGATACCAAGTGCCAACACCATATAAACAATACCTTTTTTTTCATCCTTTCATTTATGGATGCTAACCTTGTCATACCAGCTCCACATTTATTGGTCTGATGTTTTCCAGCTGGAGAGTGGGGGTGTGTTGTAGTTAAAAAAAGTCAATTCCAGCTTCAAGCTAACTCTCTAGATGGGACACATCTCATCTGGAGGCTCACTGTTACAATGCTCAAGAGTCCTTTTACTTGAGGAACTTCCTAACTTCATAGAATTGTCCAATACAATTTTAACATTTTAATCACATTACTTCTTGATCACTCTTCTCTCTGCTTTATAGATTTTAACTCACAGGCTGACAAAAAACCCCAAAACCTCCCAAAACCAACTGAGCTTTCTACTTGTTGCAGGGGACTCACTTGAGAGTCATGTACAACCTGGCTTCTATATCCTGCTAGATCTCCCCAACAAATCAAAACATTTCTGGTTTATATTGAAGGCTTTTATGTGGCTTCCCTGATCTTCAGGGCATCACCTGGTTACTTAACTTTAAAGCATCAGCTGGAAGCCAGTACATTATCCCCATGGGCTTGAGCACAACTCCCATTCATGTAATAGCCTCTCTGTAATATTAATGCCTTCTTCATTTATCATTTTCCCATAATAACTTCCAGGATGGAGATGTCTCTCATTACAATGACTTCTTGAATTAAGTATTTTTTGTCTTTTCCAACAACTAAAACTAAAGAAGCCATTCTTTGACAAGAGCCATCTGTCAGTAATGATTAAGTCTTCTGCAAAACATTATGGGGTACACGAGTATGTTTTGCTTAAATCCAACACGGTTAATGCAGCATTTGTCACACATGTTGAGAACAGCACAAGAGAACACAATTATCAGTTTCAGTAACTGGCTTTTTTTACTCTGTCCCAGAACATGTAAGGACACCACCAGTTCAGATGCCTCTAAAGCATCAAGTGGAGTCTGAATTTACTGACATTTTCATGACTTCAAGCACAAACTACACAGTAGCAAGGTCAGATTTGTGATTTAATCAATTCAGGTATGTACAAATGATTTGTGGGTAAGTCACTCAAGACACACTCACTCAGGTCAACTCATTTGAGTTCTTCTATCTTGATCCTTAAAACACCATATTTAATTTTTGATTTAACAGCATCAACAGGAGCTTGGCTCAAGCTTATCATCAAAAGTCTGTGGTAAAGGAGGAAGGCAAACCCATGTTTCCCTTGGTCCCAGACCAGGGTATTAAGCACTTGCTACAATTCTGTCCTATGCAAGGGACATGTAATAAGCTATCAGAGCACAATCTGTTTTATCTCCACACGGTTACTTACGTAGGCAACGGTAAATAGTAGGAATCTGGTAAATAAAGAGAAGCAGAAGGAGTACCAGAGCCTTTCAATCTGACCAAGTCAAAGATGCTCACGAAAAGGATCCATAGTTTGAATCAAACTTACACTCTCATGTGCTAATCTAACCGCAAAAACTTGGGGACAAGACCAGGCAACCAGACCACCCCAAGGGACGCGCCGAGAGCGTTAACAGCGGGGCCTGTAACAGGGCTTCCAGCGCAGTCACGGCGCCAGAAGACCCGCCTGGCTCGGCCGCGGCCTGTGTCACCCCGAGCGCCACCCGGGAGGGGCGGGTCCAGGTGGCTCGGGCAGTGCCGGCCCTTCCTCGGCACCGCCCCGGCTGGGACCAGCGGCTCCGAGCTCAGCAGGGCGGCC